AATATCGAACATGAGTAAATAAGAAAGAACTCCAAAAGAATTAACAAATAAGAATTCTATGGAGTTTTTGCCATACAACGAAGCTGAAGTATTGAAAATAATTGGTTCTGACAATATCGAAGCACCAAACGCTTTACCTCAAAAAACACCAAACGAAAACTTAGACAACTTAGACGTGAAAATCGATGAGAATTACGACAACCTCGTTTCACAGGCCGCAGACCTCCACATTAAAATTTGCGAAAAAGAGGAAGAAGAACAATCACTGCGACAAGAGGTGAAATTGCAACAGAACATGATAGATAAGGAAAATCAGTCGATTTGTTCTCTCAATGACCAAATCACTGAAATAAAGCAACTATATTTTAACGACCTGATTTCCAAAATTGGTGTCTTCAATGGTAACAATCACCAAGAGCTTTTCTTGCAATTTCTTTTGCAAGACACCCCCATCACTGAATGGAAGGACATCCTCATCACCAAATTTACTTCCTTATAAATACAATAGTTTATTATAGTTTATTATGCTACAATTAAATAGTAACTTCAATCAGTAGTAGACATTAATAGTATTTATAATAGAAACTAATACAAAAAACGACTCGGGGTGTTTCTGCACAAAAAAGAGACCAAAAACAGCGCAAAACAAATCAATTCTTGTTGTAAGTACAATTGTTTGGACAAGGAAGGAACAAACCAACTTTGCAGAGAGGTAAAGGATTGGGTCTGACTCGGCGTCTTTTGCCATCTTGTGAGTGATAATAGAACCAACGATAACACTAATAGCCAATATAATTCCTGTGCACACAAACGTCAGAATAAGGTAATCAGGAACGTTGATCGATTTGTACTTGGTGTTATTCCATTTGTGTTTTGAAGAGTCGCATTGATGAATATAAAACAAACAATAACCGGTTTGAAAAGAAGCGACTGTGTTGGTTCTGTCTCTTGTGCAAGGGCAACACACACTAACAAAAGAGCTAATAACATTTTCATTCGTCTTCTTTTTTCAGTTTCTTTGTTTCTTTGTTCTACTTTTTCTATAGTACATTTTACTATAATTTTTACATTTATTTTGTTCAGTCTTTTTTCTTCAAAAAGAAAAAGGCATTTCTGGGTGAATTGATTATTGACACACTTTAATCATTAATTAATAGTAAGTTATTATTTAATATTGACTTTGCTGAATTTTGTATAAAATAGTCTCAAAAATGACTTTTTTTCTGGTTCAATAACATTTCTATTAAAATGTTATTCATTTTTTTAGATATAACCGTCATATCATGTCGATATTGTAATTAATAAAATCCTCTAGTAAATGTTAGAAAAATATAGTTTGGATTTGTTGTTTCGTTGAATGAAATTGGAAATTGAAATAAAAATGGAAAAGCACTAAAAAAACAGAATGTCTTGTTGTGGGAAGGAGGAAAAAATACTGGACGACAAAATAGAGGAGAAAGAAGACGACGTACCTCTTTCTGAGCAACTCTCTAAGGGTATCAAAGTAGTTGTTCTTGGTGAAATGGCGACTGGCAAAACATGTATACTTCACCGCTGGGTGACAAACGAATTTGTACGACAAACTGCAACAGTGGGGTGTGCGTATAGTTCAAAAACAATCACTTATAACAAAAAGCTGATTAAATATGAAGTTGTTTGTTCATTCATTTAATCACTGCAACAAATAGATTTAATAATTAGTGGGACGCAGCAGGACAAGAACGGTACAGATCACTCTCTTCAATTTATTACCGCAACGCCACGGTTGCCTTATTGGTCTACGACATCACTCGGGCAGTTTGTTTTCATACACTTACGAACAAAAGGAAATCGCACCATTTACTTAGCGTGTAGGAAACGTTCAGTGCTGTCACTGATTGGGTGGAAGAATTGAAAACAAAAGCTCCTGATAATGTAATGATAATCATTGTAGGCAACAAAAACGACCTTGAAACTGAGAGAGCAGTTAACAAAGAGAGTGTGACTGATTTCATTAAAACAAGTGACCCACGCATCATCGCTAATATGGAGTGTAGTGCAAAAACCGGAGACAACATCAATGAGATATTCGAAGTGATTTCCAAGCGACTTCTTGAGATGTGTAATGAACAATGAAGTATACCAATATTCAATAAGTGAGAGTCTCGTGTTTTATAATCACTTACTTAATTCATATTTCTTAGGTTCACATTCCATCTTATCCTCTTCGTCTTTTATACCACTCCCTGGCTCTCCATAATACAACTTCTCAAACGAATACTCGCTCGAGTACCACTTGTTCAAAAACCCATATCTGAAATTCTTTATTGGCTCCGGGGTCGGCTCATTCCCGGGAGAAAATAATGGAACTAAATTTCCTTCAACAACGTCTCCATTTGATAACAGTAAAGTGTCACCCTCGATCATTATATCAAGTCGTGACGGTTGTTCAATATGCGAGATTGCGTCGAAATTCGCCACTCTGTACTCTTTGGATGTAAACAAAGTCGGCCACCCCCACCGATCCTCTTTCTTTCCCTCTGGTAATTTGGATTGTACCAATGTGAGTAAATTGGTTATATTCATATTACTTGGAACACTGAAAAAACTATAGAATTCCGATGACTGCGTCTTCAAAAACGATATCGAAGAAGGTAACGTATAGTCATTGTCACTTGTAAGTACAGCAAACACATTACCAGCCATTGGTCTTCCATATGAAAAAATGAAGTGCGGTTCATACTCAAAGAACCGCCCCAAAAGCTGTTCGAAATGATCGATGTGGAAGGTGAAGTGCCAGTCCCAGTCTGGCACTTCGTTGAACAAAGACTTTGAAAGCCACACAAGTCCATCCCAAAACGCGACGCAAACGTTCGGCAAATTCAACTCAAACTCGTTTCTTGTCAAGTCACTGGAACACTTGATTATGGAAGTCATCTCTTCATCATGTAACAACAATAATTGTTTTCTAATGTGCTCTGCAAGTCTGTCATTTTTCGCATCGAAATAAGCGATACTTGTGTTTGTCGAAGTAAACCCTTCGGGGAGTTTAGTTCGCATGTTAACCATCAAAATTGTTTTGAGAACTGGTTTCATGATTTGCCCGTTTTCTATCACAAAACCAGTACCCACAGCATTGGCATACCTTTCGAATAACACACCCACTGTCGCCATAAACACGGCTGGAAGCACATCGTTTTCCAGCATTAAAAGCAAAAAGGCGATGTCGTCGACTATCCTAACGAACGGGAGTACTGGAATTTTGATTTTGAGGTCTTTGAAAATGTCAAGGAGAAGCGGGTTCATGTCAAACATTGTGTTTAATGAGGGAACTACCACGACGTATCGGGGCAAATGAAGTGACATATAAGTGGATGGGTAACTATTCGATATGAAGCAGTGCGTCGCATTGGCATCAACACCACTGCACGACTGCTGTCTCCTCACAAAGTCCAACACCTTTTGGTGAGCCATACCAGCAACCGAGAAATTTGATACTATCACTGTGATTGTTGGATGGTCTGTAATATATTGATCGATAACTGGGGTAAGGTCTCTCTGAAGTTTGTAGTGTCTCTTTCGACTTCTAAGAAAACACAAAGGCGTTACTCCCTCCACAGCGATGTACAAAAGTTTGTCTGGGATACAGACGGAGAGATAAGACTGTAGAGTGGCATCATCGTAAGTGTCAAATACAGAAAATGAAATGTACACGTTGTCGAAATGTCTTGGTGTAAGTTGGTGTGTGTGTTGAGTGTATGACGCCTTTGCATAATCGAAGAATTTAGTCATCTACTGCTTTACTGAGTTATTAGCCCTTTCTTTTTTCTCTGACATCACTTGGTTTCCATTATAGTATTTTAATTATATTCTTTATCTTACCAAACTATTAAAATAGAAAAAGTCAAAATGGAAGACTCAAAAAAAACCCTTTGATAAAAAAGACTGAAAATTGAAGATCCATTAATGGAAGTGTATGACGACACAAATGACCCAATAGAATTGGAGGTACCAGTCTATCTCTGTGACAACAACTCGCAACAGGTTTTTCTAACACAATACCCAACAAGACTCGCGTGGAGACCATTCGATTTATCGCAAGTCGACGAAGTCCGGTTTAAGCCAGAGCAAAAAGGGCTAGAAATGGATGTCAAACTGCCCGAGGAGTATATCGACGACGAATCATCATTCAAAATTAAGTCACAAACATACAAAGGGTCGGTGACGGAAAATCGAGCGAACTATGCTGTCGGCTTTGTCAAAGAAGTCCAAAAGGTACCAACATTGGTTCTATTCCCGGTCTCCACTGTCTCCCAAATGAGACCAAAGTTTGATTATGTTGACGCAGACTACGTCGAGGAAAAAGTCGAGAAAGCGGAGCCAACGGATGAGACAAAGAAAAAGCGGATTGCCGTCTCCGCAGCCCCAACAAAAAAGCAGAAAGACGCGGAGCAGCTCAAAAAGGATGAAGCCGAAGAAGCAATCAAAATGAAATTACACGACACAACGGCGGATGAGACAATCCAAGTTGTGGAAGACATGGTCAAGTCGGCGAGAGGAAAGATTGAATGGAATGAAGATGTCGAAGAATATGTCAATAAACTTGCGCCAATAATTGAGGTACCCCCACCAATGTTACCAAATCGCGATAAGATCATTCAAGTACTTGGCATTGGGAAGATCATGCCACTACCTCGTATATTAGAAATGATGAAAGTGAGTGAACAGTCTGTTGTGGGGTGGATATCCGAATTGTGTTTTGTAGTTCGTGGTTGTTTAGTTCTTCGTGGGGAGTTTTTAGATATTGGAATGCGAGAGAATTGTGTAAGAGAGATGGTACTCTCTGTCATTACACAAAAGGGGAGAGTGTGTATGGACGACATCAAGTCGGTGTGGAAAAAATATGAAGAGCAGATAGCCATGGTGAGTCGCGTTTTGACCGACTACTGCACTTTAATGAAAGACGAGGAGACGTACTATTGGAAGAGTAAAGTCGAAGACGATTCATTAGGTTCCGAATGGGATCATTTAGTCAAAGCAAGCCAACAACATTGGAAGGGTGTGAAACAAGGGATAGTGAAAAAGATGAAAGAACTTGACAAAACTGGTGATGAGTTTACAGGTAATACACAAACTAGTGGTAAGATAGTGGGAGGATTGAATGACGAGAGTCAAGGACCAGTGGTTCATTTCATCAAAGAATACTTGATGAAGAATGGTGCGTGCACTTCACAGTATTTGATGGGTGTTGTGGAAAAGGAAATTACTCGAGCGAAAAGCAAATTGAAGGGTGTTGTGATCTCACACGAAATTTTGTTGTCTGTGCTCGAACCAATTACATACAAAATCGACACATTGTATGTTTCCAAAGAATGTCCCAAAGGCAAAAACGAGGAACTTCGAATTGCGATCATCAACTTTGCAACAAAGAAGACAAGCTTCTTGCAACAAGAGCTTCGAACACATTTACAGAATATTGTTATCAATGGAAAGAAAGAAGCAATATCGCAAAGTGACATTAAAGACCACATCAGTGAATTTATGACGATGAAAGGGAATGCCTGGGTACTCAAGAAAGGCGACGGACAGAACTAGATGTGCTGAATAGATAATTACAAGTAACTATACAAACTGATTTTATTTTCCTCATTTTGTCAATGTTATAAGTGAAACATAAAATACAACACTACAATTTCCAAAAAACAAATTAGTCGAAAAGAACCTGCTCCATCAACACTTTCTTCTTTTCAATGAGAGCGTTGATGATGTCTGTGTTGACATTATCATCGAGATCGGTGGAGAAGTCCGGGAGCGAATTCACCATTTCAACCATCCATGTCGATACAACACCGAAGTTTGGTCTGTCCTCGTAATTCTGTGCCCAACACTTTGTTATGACAGTCTTCAACTTTTCTGGTATCGGGTCTTTTAGAGGCAATCGATTTCCCTCCAGCACGTGAGACTTCACAGAAAACAAGTCTTGGAATTCTTTGAAAGGTTCTTCCTCATAAAACAGTTCCCATGCTGTTATTGCAAAAGAATAGACATCGCTGCCATAGTTGTACACGTCGGAGTATGTTTCTGGTGCAAGGTATAATGGCGTTCCCAACCCCTTGTCTTTGTTTCTTTTAATTCGTGACGTTCCGAAGTCGGTAATTTTAGCAATACAATCGGAGTTGATGGATAAAGACGCAAGCAAAATGTTGTCTGGTTTCAAGTCCAAATGCATAATTGAGTTTTCGTGTAAAAAGGACATTCCTTTTGAAACGTCTTTAAGGATCTGCATTTTGAGTTTAAATTGGAGTACAACACCCTCTGGAGCTGGTCTGCAATAGTTCGCAAGAGAATCAAAGATGGCATATTGCATGATAATTGAGATTTGTGGAATGTATGTGACTGAGCCAATGTATGATATAATGTTTGGGTTACGCAACTTTTTCATAAGGTCGCACTCCGCCTTGACATCATTCACCATAAACTCCCTCTCTTCTTCGTTTGTGAAGTTCAGTTTGAACGTTTTGATTGCTACAAATATTGTTCTATAACTCCCCAAATACACTGTGGAGTATGTACCCTCACCGATGGGCGTTTCCATCATTTTAATTTCGTCGATATCAATATCCGTGGACGCGGCCGCTTCCACATTTAATGTGAGATACAGTCTGAATTTGGATTTGATGTTTTTCATGAGATGGAGGTGTTCTTCTCGCATGTCAGGGGTATATGTTTCCTCTGTCTTTCCTTTTAAGTTTGCGGCAATATCATTCAACACACTCCGCGTTTTGCTTGTGAACACAGTAGTTGGTATTTTCATTGAATTAATTTTTGTGGTGCAGAAGAGTGTGGCAAACAAAGTGATAACACCCTGTTATTAAGTGCATATAATCATTTGTTATAATGATTAACACGGATGTATAACCAACAAGAAATAACAAACTTTTCGATGTGGAGGAATATACAACACCTCAGGTTCTGTGTGAAAGACATACTTATCCGAATTTGGAAGATGTAGAATTACCAACATCCACTTCTTTCGTAAATTTTTAAATGTGATTTGGTTGAAATAAGTCTTATTTATATCAATAAATTCGTTGTCACCAAACGTAAGTGTCATTTCCGAAATGAGGAAATTGGTGGCATCCAACTCTGGCTCATATACTTGACACTGCTCAAAGTTAATAAAATATTGGGGTTGCCTTCTAACTATAGTATCTGGGTCGAAGGTCGTTTTCTTGTTTACTGCAACAATTAAAATGATCGCAATAATTAGGACGATAACAACAATGAAGATACCAACTATTAACAAGAAGTAATAGTACCATTTCCACCCACTCTTTTCACACCCACCCACTAAATCACTTTCATACCCTTCTATACATTGGCACAATTCATTGCAATGATTCCCACCATCACAATCTTCTCCATAGTCCACTGCTTTATTTCCACATGTAACCAATTTGCATTTGTAAGTTGGTGTAGCTACATAGCCTTCTTCACACTCACAGTTAATTAAACAGTTATCTTCCCCAATTTTACATTGACTGTATCCATATTGTGCACACTGGGGCGTTTGACAGTAATGGCCTTGGATCGTGTACCCATCCTCACATGTACAGTGTTTTGTACATCCAGTGGTATCCAAATAACACCCATTCTCATTGCCACTCGAAAAAGATTTTCCATTGTAACACAATTCGCCACACTCTTCGTACCCATACCCACTATTACACAAACACCCAAACACAGACAAAACACATTGCCCACGCTTTTCAGGCTCTCCACACTTGTTGACGCACCCCACTTGAACTCTTAACTTAGTTTCTTCACCTTCCAGAGTTATGAAAAACAGCCTTGTTTCCTCAATTTCGGAGTAGACCCAAAACAAGACGCCATCATCTGAATTCTCTGTTGTTGTCAAACCAGCCTTCTTCCCTATGTGGAGTGCTTTGCATTCAAAATTTTCGTCGAGTTCTTCGACATAGTGAAGTGTTTGTGATTGTTTTGTGTCGATTATAATCGTGCGGTAAGGAAATGTCTTCACAGCAAACAAAATTCCCTTTACAAAGCCTTCATAACAACTCATTTTTCTCACAACAAAGCCTTCGTTCCCAACAATCCGTGTCTTTGGAACTCCGGTACTGGAATGGTTTGTGTTGTCATCAATAAAGTCGACGAACTCATTCCCGTCAATTTCAAATTTTGGTTTCATCTTTTCCTCAGTCGTTACGATCGAAAAAGAAACTTCCAAACTCTTCCCATTCTTAATACCAACGAATAGATAAAACGAAGTATATGGAAGCTTTAATTGTGCTGTGGCGGCATTCTTCATTTCAAAACTCGAGAGACATTCCGTCGACTCACCCTGATGTGTTGCTACTTCAACAAAAACAGAACTATTTGTAGACTTAACTGGGCTGTTGTCAACTATTTTAAAGTCAGTCATTGATATCATCCCCTCCGCAGAAAGTGTAACGGAAATCCATTTGCCGTAGACATAATCATTAGTGTTGTAAGTATCTTGACACGGAGGAATAAGTGGTGAAAACGAATTGACAGACACCACTTGTGCGACATTTGTTACATCCAAATTTTGTGGATCGACTGGTGCACGGGTAAAAGTACGTCCCTCAGTATCTTGAGACACATCCTCGCACACCCCTTCGACTTGCATGTAAAGAGGATTACCATTTTGTGAGACGGGTTCTGACGATTTGTAAAATTGGCAGGTATCACAAGCATCGTTAAAAGTGTTATAGCCAGCTTTGCATGTGTCGCAGACATTTTCTTTGCATACCGCGCACCCGGCGTTGTCACAAACGTTTGACGAAACAACGAAAGACAGAAAAAGAAAAAAGACACACATCTAAGAGATACTAACGGTTTGTCTTTTGCAAACAAGAAAATTTTTTGTTCTTATTGAAGATGCTAAATATAGTACAGATTGGTTTGTGTGTTTTTTTATTGAGTATGGTATACCATCAAAATGGTTTAATTTACTAATGTAGTTGGTAATGCATTGATTCATATAGCCAATGAAACACAATAAAAGATATTAAAAAATAAATCCGAGTCAAAAATCCCCAAAAATATATTATTTTGATTCAAAGTTTAATATCGTAATTATGGAAATACAACCGCACATATGCAATTAAAGGAAAAACGTGTCGAAATTGATAATAAAAAACATCGGTAAAATGTATTAAAAAGAAATAGTGAATTTACTTCCCAAAAGTGTTGTTTTTAAATGAGTTGGGTGAAAAGCCAACTTGTGTCGAAGGCACCTCTTAGACCTCACGTAAAGTGATTCATTAATGATGTTTCCTCGCCACAAGAAACAAAGAACGGAGAGTGGTCACATGTAGTGGGGGCATTTGTTCAAAACAAAACAATTTTGTGCAGTTCAACCCTCAAAAAGGGTTCGAAAACTTCAAATACACTTTGGTGTTATACATGATGGACAAAGATATCCCTGGTTTCGTCGTCGACTTTTTAAAAGAGGCACAAAACAAATATTTTGTACAAATTGACTCGGGGTATCTGAAGGATGTATTTAATACAACTGGCCTCGAGCATTACGTCCATGGGTTTGAGGATGCTTACCGTCTCTTATGTGGGGAGAAAATAGCTGGGAGTGACGAGTATTTAACTTTTTGTAATGAAGGAGCAAGAGAATTGTATGGTCTTCTTCATTCCCGGTATATCATGACGGAAATGGGGGTGTTTAAAGCCAAAGAAAAATACAAAACACATGAATTTGGTGAATGCCCTCGTTTTTTCTGTAACGTTTGTATTTTAGTATTAGCACTGTTGTTTATCGACTTGTTTATATACCTCAATATATATTAGTCACTCACCACAAGAAAACGGGGTTGTTGCCTTGTTCTCTATCGGACATCCCTAACGAGACTAAGCTCGTGATGTACTGTCCGTCTTGTAAACATATGTATAGTCCCCCAAAAGTATTTTCACAGATCGATGGCGCGTATTTTGGGAAGTCGTTTGCGCACCTTTTCGTCATGACCAACCCAGACCTTGTGACAAAAACAAATCCACAACAGATCAAATACCAGCCGTCATTGTTTGGCTTTAAAATGTATACTGGAGAGATCAGTAAGTTGCCGTCAAACTTCTCGCCGAAGAAATCGTTCTTTACAAAAATACAGTGAATGTGTTTTTAATCTCCATTTTAATGGTTTTGGAGCTTTTTCACAGTTCGCAGACAACGTTTTTCGTTTGTAAATACTCTTTGTTGCCTTTTGTATTCATTTTGTGTTGCATTTCACATTGCCTTGGTGTAACACAAAATATCACCAACAAGTCGATTAAGAGTATTGTTTGCACCCCGTAGTGTTGGACAAAAAATGCGTTGAAGTGTACTTCTGCATACAAAGCCAACAAAATTGATACCCACATTTACACGTCATGTGGTTACAGCCCCCATTCTTTTCAATTGGTTGATGACAATTTGGACACAACTTAGCATGGTTCCGGATATACTCCTCGAAAGCAGTAGACCCTTTCGCATTGTCCTTTTTCCACTGTTGATATTTCTCGCACGTCGAGTCCGCGTGCCACTAAAGTTGAATACTTTATTGAAAGAAGTTGAGTGGAGTAACAAACTTGTTCTTTACAACGGCAGCAGAAGCAGTAATCACACTTCACGCAACGAACCATTGTCGTTGATGGCTCGCCGATCATTGCAGTACCACACTTAATACAATACACTGTGTTTGTGTCGTTGTCCAAAGAAAGTCGGGTGAGTGTAGCATCATACTTTTGAAGGAGCGCAGGGTCTGTCACAAGCCCGAAGTCAACAAGCTGTTTGTTAGTGCTTCACTTCCGTATTCAACAAATGAATGAACAAACATCATTATATGGGATCTCAGATGTACACCCGCCTTGTGGGCACTTGATAATAGTATTCGCGTCGTTGATCTTCGTCCTGACGTGGTCCGACAAACACTATTGATGAGTGACATTATTGCATCTTGAATCGAACAAACGGGGATGCAAAAAGAATGACCACAAAATGGGTTGGTGTAAAAGAAGGACTGGTCTGACTCTGAGAAACAAATTCCGCATTCAAGTTGTTTGTCCTTTTTGGGGAAGTAAGCTCTCTTTTCTCTGATGTACTCTCGTACCATTTTCTTCATACCTTCTTTGTCCTTCGTGATAAGTGTCTCGTAGTCCATTGGCGGATAGTTTTGTTCCATTGTTTAAGTTTTTCAGTTTAAGACAGAACTTTTTAACAC